TCACTTTAACGTAACCGCGAGGAAATTTTGCCTAATGTGAGGATTTTTTTTTGTCACATTAACCTATTTTTCTTGTAGTGAACGCGCCGGAGCACCGCCCAAAACCCGCCATCAACACCACCACTAAACGGCCTTGTAGCTCAGGCCGTGAACCTGACGGCCGAGATCAGTTCCTCTCTCGGCCACAATCGGACGAGATTCACCGGGATTTATGGGGTCACACCACCATGCTTCACGATCCCAAATGTCGATTAGAGTAAAGGGTGTATTTTGGGTCTGTCATACAAGTAAATGAATTTTGAATTGAAACCTTTGTAAGAAAATGAACTTGTAATTTCTTTTTCTTTCTAAAAAAGTAAAAAAATAAAAAGGGAGTAGGAGCGGACTTGTAACTCAAGCAGTTAAGAACAGTTATCCCTGCACATGAGTCCTATGTTCGAATCCTCTTCTACCAATCACTTGTATAAATATAAAAAGGGGAGAAGAGGGAAAGAAATAAAAGGATTGATTTGAGCATGCCACCATAAACCAATATAATCACAGGCGCCTTGAACGGAAGTGATAAAATGACTAAATCTTGAGGCGTGGTCCAGTTGAAGGACTACATAAACTAAAAAAATGAGTTGAGGGACAAAAATGTAACTCATGGATAAGTGTAGGGACATTGCTCCAAATTAACCTTAATTATAATTGGTAGGTTTGTTAGAGGTTGTATCATGGAAGACTAGTTGTAAATTAAGGTATACTAATGCATTTTAATGATATAATATATCTTTACCATGAATAAACACACTCATTCTAAAGTGGGTAAGAAAAATATGCATGATTGTCATAATCTTCAACTTTTTTGAATACAAGAGATAGTATAACTATAAGGGGAGGGGGTTTCTCACACACACACATTATCAAGGTTCCATGAGGGTTCAAACTTGAGATAATTGGTCTGCAAATCAAGGTCATTTTCCACTGGATTAGACCCGTTGGTATCATCTTGTCACCTTAATATATCATATGTTGTCATGTGATCAAAAGAGTAAAAAACCATGGAGTTACATATGTTTAAGTATATATAATCATTAATCAAATATCATTACATAAACAAATATTTAGAATGAATGTACTGCTTATATGTTTGTGCGCACTTACATTTCTTCAATTGAGATTGGAACTTGGTGATATGTGTTCGTTTCATTTTCCAACTCAGTCATGTTTGAGGAAATACAAGGGAGCTTCCCACAATCAAAATGTATGACATTATTACATGTACCACCGTAAAGAAGCCGATTGAACACCATGTCCCTTAAGAATTTCCTCAGCCAACCAGAACCTTCAATGGACGACAAATATGAACATGTCATGACGCCAGCAGCTCGCCACCGCCTTTGTTGTGCATATCTTCTTAAGGCTCCGGCCACCTCTGTTGCCAGAACTCCTTTGCTACGAATAATCAAGTCCCCGAACTGCTGTCCCAAAACGATGGCGTCTTCGAGTGCTAGACATTCGTTTTGTCCAAGGTATGGAATCATAGGGTGCATGGCATCACCTGCAACTGTTATATTTCCTTGACTTACATTTCTGAATACCATGTCCCATGGAAACCTAAACACCACTGGAGCCCATGATACTGTGGAAAGATCAGAATGTTGGACAATTATAGAGAACACTTGAGGCAAGTCCCCGGCAAGGCTTTCAATGACCTCTCTTTGTATCAACTCTGTGTTGCCTCTCATGTCTTTACCTGAAATCGAAGGATGATCAAATTAGTTTGTCGTTAATTAATGCTCTAAGTCTTGTATGGTTTTGATATTAATCAGTGTGATTTAAGATAGTTTGCAAGGGCCTTGTACCTCACGTGGTTAAGAGTCCTATGTTTGATTTCTCCCTCAATATCACTTGTATAAAATAAAAAATAATAAAATAAAAAACTTTGGTAGCATCCAAAATGTTTAAGTTTTGAGTTCTTGATCAAATACTTTAGTTGTTAGCAAGAGGGGCTTGAAAAATAAAAAAATAAAAAACTTTGCATGTTATTACCTTCACACGAGGTTGATTTGCAGAAAAGAAACCAGTAAAGTTCTTTGTCATTGAGAGGAACAAAACCAGCCCTTTTATCTGCGGTTATAAATTGCTGAAATTCATAGTTGAACTTGTGGCCTTCTGGAAACGTGGCCAACCCACGCGCTGCCCATCTACCTGAGCTAACTGGTGCACTGAGTCCCAGCCAACGTGCTACTACTGAGTGCACGCCATCACAGCCTATCAAAGCCTGTATTGTCCAACTGAAAAATTAAAATTGTAACAAAGTAATCGAAATTGAAATAGTACACCATGTATAAGAGTGGCCTCATTAAAACATTCCCGAAGAAAATCACATGAGATAAAACTGTAGGGTAGAAAAGAGTGCTATACATGCCAAATTACAAAAACAAACCAATACTAGAAAGGACGACAATCATCCTGAATGCAATCCATGTGCCACGGAGGACCCGATTCCATCTAGTATGAAAGGATGGCCTTTTACGAAGACATTTTAAAAATCCAATAGCCACGGAGGACCCGATTCCACAAGCATTGATTGGCGTCTTTTTTTTTTCAACATTGTGTTAGAAGTGCTTTTCAATTATCAAAAGTTTTGATGAGAGGGAGATTTGAATTTGAGAATTTTTAATAATAATTGAAAGAAAAAAAAAACTTTTGATGAGAGGCAGGATTGAATTTGAGATTTTTTTTTCTTCAATTTATTGGCAATCATCCAGAATACAATCCTGAAAAAAAAAATTCTCAAATTCAAATCTCCCTCTCATCAAAAAAAATTTCTTTCAATTATTATTAAAAGAAAATACACAAGCGTTGATATTCTTTTCTCCTATGAGATCTTCAACAAAGGAAGAGAACTTTGGGAAGGTCTATTTGTACCCCAACTTTTTTTCACGGTTAAATCGAACCTTTGTTTACACCCTAACTTAGTCTTTATGTAACAAATGCATTTGAAAAAAGATCGAACCTTTGTTTACACCCTAACTTTTTTTCACGGTTAAATCGAACCTTTGTTTACACCCTAACTTAGTCTTTATGTAACAAATGCATTTGAAAAAAGATCGAACCTTTGTTTTGATCTTGGTTCCGTCTTCCATGTGAAGGACAACAATGGATGATGAGCCTTGTGGCTGGGTTACAATGGAGCTGATCCTACAAGAGAAACGGAAGGCATCCTTTGGCAATTCCTCTGCCAGAGACTCCAATAGGACATGACGATGCACTCCTCTCAGTTCTTGACTCACTTCAGTCCTGCACAAATACCAGTTATTACCACTGCAAGACAAACTTTTTTTTCTTTTTTTCTGTTTTGAAAACTGAAACGAAGTTTACAACGAAGATCCTCTTAGGACCTTTCTTGGATAAAAGATTAGCTGTCATATTTGCCTCTCTGAAAATTTGTTTAATTACCACCACTGTAAAATCTTGCAGTCGACTGCAAAGACAAACTATATATGCTCATTGCTCTATTTCTTTTTTTTCTTTTTTATTTTGACATTATTTTATAATCTTTTTTATTTATTTAATTTTTTCCCCAACTATCTCATATTAGGTCTGATCCATGATGTTATGAGACT